TTGTTGATTAAATAAAAGCAATTGAATTAAGTTTAAACTCCTGGGCAAATTAATATTTTGTGTTTTACATAAATAAGAATTGTGCGCGGAAAGAATCCACTGTTTCTATTGTTATGTTGAAGTCATTGAAACCTTGACAATACTGCTACTGAATAAGAAGTTCAGTAAACTGAGAAGTCAGAAAAGACTGCAGCTTTATGTGGTGGTGCCATTGGTGGTACAGTGAACCATATGTTGTGGGGATAAGTGGGCCTATTTTCTCCTTTTTGCCCGTTGCGTTGTCTTGCGTCAGTAACAGCCAGTGAAACTGTACTTTTGCTGAATCTCATAACAGCAATTATGCCCAGTTTCCACCTGTGCTGGAAGAATGCAGCCCAACTGGTTTTTACTCTCTGTAGTGCCAAGACACTGGAGTGTCTTGGAGACAACAGAAAATTCATTTCATCACTTCTCCTCACATAACATTTCTATTGTCCACCAGAATTATTATGTAAGGCGGGGACTTTCCACAAACATTTGTGGGGCATTTAGACCAGAGTAAGAAAAGAGTCATGATTTTAAGACGGGGAAGTTATGTATGGATTCTGAACACCCTGAAGTATAACGTCGCTTTATAGTTTTTTGAACACTGAAGTGCTTTGGGAATTTCTGCCCTTCGTGCTACATGTGCAAAAATCCAGAAACGTTGGAAGTACTCTGTGCTTTGTCATACCTCAACTAAACACCTCCAAATACATCAAGAGCTAATATGTTGCATTGTTTCCAAGCAATGAAACCTCTTGCTAACAATGCATCACTGTGAGTGTTTTACCTTGAAGTTCTGACTAAGTAAAATGTAAATGCCCTGGACCAGAAAAAGATGCCTGTGTTAGTTAGGGCTCTAATTTACAAGGGTTCTTCGATTCCAGAACCTGAGCAGGGAGGGAGTCGTGTACACTAAGTGCAACATTTCTGAATGACCAGGAAGCTGTCAATCAATTGCACATTCCTTCAACTCATTATTTTTTTTCTAACCCTTCTTGCCAGCTGTGAAGCAGCTCATCAACTTCTGGTGTCTGTGGAATGCAGGACCCTTAAAAGTTTCTATCACAACTTCACCAACTTCCAAAGTGCACAGAAAGGGTCTGGTGAGCTGAAGACTCCTGGTAGGAAACAGTTTCATTTGCAGACCAAGGTCCAGGGTTACGAAGCTACAGCCAAAATGGTGATCATGTGCTAATGCAGCCGTTTCCTCATGCTTCCAGTGTAAGTGGAGACTTCAGCTCATCAGACTGCAGGAGTCTGGCAAGATGACAACAACTGTGTTTTTAATAATTAACTGTCACAATCCAGAAGCATTGTGATACATAACATTTTGTGGTAAGCTCGGCACCATCTCCTCTATCACTAAATGTTGTGTACATTAATGGGATACATTATTTACATACACATCTTTCAGTCCAGTTTCGGTGCTCACCACAGTAATGAGACTGCTCTGGTCAACATTTTCAATGATTGCCACATAAATACAGACTGTGGAACCTCCTGACACTGCAGACCAAAGTACTGAAGTGACTGGAGAACTGGGTTGCACTTTCTGGTGAAGTACTTGACTGGTTTGAGTCTTACTGAAAGGACAAGGATTTATTTGTGCCAGTAGGTAAGTTTTCAACAGAGCAGACAAAAACCACATGTGGGGTTCCCCATGGCTCTGTCCTGTGGCCCCTCTTGCTTAATTTGGTTATTTGTATGTTTAACGATGCCCATTAGTCTCCGCCGTAGTAGAGATTATTCTTCCTGTGGTCCACACACCAAACACTGCAATAAAATTTAATTGGAAACATTACAAAAAAGACATAACACCATTCCTTAAGACAAACAAAATTAAAATAAACTCAAAATTCAGATCAACTGTTTCAACAACTTACAAACATTATGTAAAGATGTAGCAAAATATCTTACCACACAAGCTATTTCAACTATTAGAACTATATTACAAACAAAGGTAAGTACAATTATTTAATTTAATTATTTCATTTGTTTAATATCTACATTGTCCTGCTAGCTCAGATTAGACCAAATCACAAGATAAGTTACATAGTTATGCAGATGATGTACAACTCTACTTAGTGTCACCAGGTGTTTATGAACCCATTCAAGTGTTGAGTAGATAAATTGAAGGAAATCAATGCATGAATGTGCCAAAACAACTAAAGATAAACTAAGTGTTCTTTGTTGAATTAATTACTGAGACAGTCTTCACCAGTCTGTCTAACAAGACAATCTAGATGTAGGATGCTGCTGCCTGCATCCAGCTCTAAAGTCCTTGCACTGTTATCTGTTGTCATATGAACCTTGCAGACCACTCAGGTCTTCTGGTTTTAGTCTACTCTGCATCTCCAGAATCAGAACCAAACATGGAAAAGCAGTTTTTCTGTTTCCAGACTCCACTAATCTGGAACAAACTTCCAGAAAATGGCAATATTGAAACACTGAGTTCTTTTAAAATATGTCTAAATGCAGATTTCTTTATAGTTGCCTTCAGTTAATACTAACTGGAACCATTTTTGTCTGTCTTTAGCATTTCTTTACGCTTGTTTATTATGCCAGTGTAATGTTTTGTGTACAGTCGTGTCCTGGAAACGACTGTGACCAAATCAATTGTCAAGATGCAGAAGACTCAAACAATCATGTGCTGCCTTTAGGGTCAGAGGTCAGGATTTTGCTTGTGCAAATACTTTCTCTGTTCAATTCACTGAGATGCACACAGTTTCCCAGAGACAGAAAGTTAACCATTCAGTGCATTTATATTTTGGACAATGTGAAACAAAATTTAAATGTTTGGTTCTGAAGAAAGGTGCTTTGATCTCTACACCTACATTTCTTTGCCTCGTGTTGAACTCAACCCATGCTGCTGCTCAGAGTCTGTTGGTGTTTGGAGGGATTGTTGATGCCTGTGGCAGCCTTCAGAATGGTCACCGAGGCACATATCAGTCTGTATCAGAGTACAGACTGATACATGCCTTTTTAAAAGGGAGCAAATCCTTTTTAAAAAGATTTGCTCCCCTCCTTAGAATTTTTTTTTAACTCTAACAGTCTTGATTACTCCAAAGAGGCTCCATATCATTTCTTTATTTAGCAGATCACATATCTCTGAAGATCTGCAATCATTCCTGTCATATCGTGTCATAGCTTTGTACTGACACCTAATGGCCACAGACAACAACATCCGCTTCATTTACGTTTTTAAATAAAGGATTTACCACATTTGCGTCCTGATGCAGGTTTCCAGATCTATGCTGATGACGTTGTTTATGTAGCTGGTAAGTTTACAGTTATATCTGTTTCATCACAGCTGTCTCTGTGTCTCACAGTGAATCTAAGCATAACTGTCATTTTTCTCCTTTTTCATAGGGTTTATTAATTAGTCTCAGTAATTCTAATGGAAAGGTTTAGTGGACAAATTACTGAACAAGCCTCAGAAGTAACACATATTGGTGTCATTTTGGAGTTTCATTTAATATTTGACAAATGTGTCAAGATGTTGAGTAGAGCAGAACCTCACAGTCCTTCACGATTACATTTGCCTTTTCATGCCGCAAATGTTTTCATGCATTTAGTGATGTTTATTCTCATATAAAGTGCCGTGTCCCTGTCGGTCACAAGCAGCACCTACAACAATCAGGGTGGAATATAATCAGGTGATTAGGATGCCTGTTTGATCACATTGCAGTCATGTTCTTAACAAAGTGAGCCTGATGAACCTTGAAAATAATACGTTAAGTTTTCCTACCAATTTTAAGCAACTTGATGGAATTGCCTTTTATTTGTAAAGTTTTGCTTGGAATGTGCAATGGGTGAATATTCCCACAGTCACTTTTTTTTAGTTAATCGTCGTTATTTTTCTAGAAGTCAGTTTTAATTTCCTATTAAAGGGAGCTTTTGTGTAATTTATTGTCAGAAAAGTTTTGTTGTTTATCAATGATTTGTAAAAGAAACAAAAAGGGCAAAGCACCTAAGGGGTGAGTAGTTTGTATAGGCACTGTACTTGTTAGATTTGGTAATGGGACAGTAGTGATAAAGGAAGGTGCGTTTAAATCCTCAACATTTTATTGATTGATGAATGAGGAAAGAAAAACTAATGAAATTACTCAACTTACTGTAAAACATACTGGACTGAACAAGTCATATTATAAATTATGTAAATATCAAACTAAGCTATTGCAATCAGCCAAAACAACATACATAGCTCATGTAACACAATTTATTGAAATGCAATATATGCATTACAATAAAACAAAATGTGGAGACCAAGTTAATGTATAAATATTTAGTCACTTTTAAAACTTATTTGTTTACTTAGTAATTCAATAAGTGCATTTGTAGTCCAGACATTGGTAGAATTATTATATTACAAGTGGATAATTTCATAATGTTTTATTGTAAATACCGGTAAGTGTTTTATTAGAAGTTTGTATGTTTTGTACCTTAATTGGCCGCTTCGCAATTTATGCAAATGAGGTGTGCCGCGCTGGAGAGTTAACGAAGGATGGAGAGAGAAGAGAAGGGAAGGCGCCGCAAGTAGATCGACAGAGCCACACGGGTTTTCAACCGTAGTTTGTTTGTGGAGGTTATAAGAACCAATTGCTCTTGTAAAAGAATTACGCAAAAACTGTGATTTTTTTTCCCCATCTTTACTTCGGAGCGCTGTGAAGTTTTAATTTTGTCCTCCCTAAACACACGAGTGAAATTTGAAAAATTAACCTTGTGGCAACACACAACATATTTAAAAAAAGAACTGTGGAAGGTCTCGCTAAGTGTGTACAGCCAAATAGATTATTATTATCTTTTTCTTTCTTTTTTTTCGAATAGTTACAATATTTACAAATCAAGTGTACAAAAAGAATCGGAGATTTTCTCTCTTTTTTTCTTCTATTTATTTATTTATTTATTTATTTGGGGTTTTTTTCCCCCACATCCCTCACTCCAGACCAGTGGGTGGCGAGAATTCACATATCGGCTTTTGCACTGTCTAGACGAAGAAGAAGAAAAAAGACGACGAAGAAGAAGAGTATTGTCGTCGTGTAACACTGCGTATTTGTTTTCCAATATTTATTAGACCCTTTTTCGGTTATCGGGCTCTTTTAGCACAGCTAGCTGTTTTCTGTATATAATGACGTCTAAGTGAAACGTATTACCGTGACAGACTCACGGGTATTTAGCTAAAACAAGCTAACAGCAGGAGTTAGCAGGAGTTGCGCATCAGTACCTCTATCAGCTGATCCAAAATGTACACTCTGCTGTCTGGATTATACAAGTACATGTTTCAGAAGGACGAATACTGCGTGTTGATCCTGGGTCTGGATAATGCAGGAAAGACGGTATGTTGTCTGCCGTCAGTGGCGTCTTCCTGACGTTTACTTCTTGTTTTTCTTCCTCTAATGTCATTGTGTAGTTGTAAAAAGTGCAAAGAGAAGATCCTATTTTGGTTTATTTTGGTGGAGCTTCAATTAAAACCAAGTCTTCTAACTCTGTATTAAACAGAACATATTTATTTATAGTTGTATTAATTTCTTAGCATTTGGTGGATTTATTTAATGTGATCAACCGTTTTGGATTTCCTTCCACAAGTTTTTCACAACAGTTTGCAGGAATCTTTTGGCCCATTCCTCCGAAAATGGAGGTGTCTGTTCTGAACTGCATTTGCAAACTGTAAGCTGCCTCTTATGTCGCTGTTGGAAAAATTGCTTCTTCTTTTCTGAGTGGCATTTCGGCCATTGATGTTTGTACAGAAACTGGACTTTAAACACTGTAGTACCAGTTTTAGCCATCAGCTTCATCAGGTTTTTAGCTTCTCTTCACTCATCTCACACTAAAACTTATTTGTTTCAGGGACCCAGAACAGGTTCCATGTCCCTCGGAACGGATACAAACTCACAACATCACACATCCTCCACAGTGCTTAGTAGTTGGATTTCACTTAATAATGAAGAATTTTTAGCGATGTTGCTCCAAAAGATCTGATTGCTATACAGATAGCATCTAAAAGCTGTTTTGGAGATTTGGTAACCACAAGAAGCCACTCGTTTACCTTGTTTACCATCCTCGTCACGAAGCAAGACAAACTTTTTGTCATAGTTGCAGTTATTTTACACATCTTCAGCATTGTTCTGATTAGTTTGGTCAGAAACCTGTCAGATCTGCTGTAGAGCTGCAGCTTGTATGTCCGTTATGATCCAGAGAACCAATTCTTGCTCTCTCTCTGTCTGCAGACCTTTCTGGAACAGACCAAGACTAAGTTCAGTAAAAACTACAAGGGGATGAATCTGTCCAAAGTCACAACAACAGTTGGGTTAAACAGTAAGTTGATATTTAAATCGTGTTTCGAAGGTTCCTGAAACCATGCAGATTTGTTTGTCCTAATTCAGATACGTGTGCCTGTTATCCAGACTTCTGTAGTTACAAACAGAAGCTGCTTGAAATTGTTCTCCTGTGTCGGAGTATTTCTCACGGATCTTTCTCTTCTCTTCGCAGTTGGTACCATCGACGTCGGCAAGGCTCGCCTAATGTTCTGGGATCTGGGCGGTCAGGAGGAGCTGCAGTCTCTCTGGGACAAAGTATGCTACAAATGAAGCACCAGCAATATGAATTCTCTGTTAGGGGTTGGCATTTATCATATCATGAAAAATAAGAATTTTGATTTAACGTTGTCACAATAAATTACAGTAAAAAAAAATCAAAACTGACAGTATTGTTGGGAACGGTATTGTTACTATTTTCTGTGCTGTTTGTTCCATGAGAGCGTTTCTATTGTACATCTACAGTAAATGTTTCGGTAGAATATTTCAGGGAAAAGAAATGTTTGAATTGTTAAGTACTTTTTAAAACTGTTTTCAAATTTGATCCCAATAAACAGCCAAAGGTTAGGATGTAGTGAACCCAGGATCCAGTGTGTTGATTTGAGTTTTTTGCTCGTACAGAACTGCCTGTAAAACATTCTGTTGTTGGAAAAACTACCTTTTCTTTCGTGCTGTAGTACTACGCAGAGTCTCACGGAGTCATCTATGTGATTGATTCAACTGATGAAGAGCGCCTTTCAGAGTCAAAGGAAGCCTTTGGTAAGTTCTGTTTTGATTTTATGGCAAAAAGTCAAATCACTTTATTGTAGTGAAAAGATAAATAACCGTTTAGACCTACATGAATTGTATCAGGATTGTTTTCCAGAGAAAATGATCTGCAGTGAGGCGTTAGAAGGCGTTCCACTCCTCATTCTTGTCAACAAGCAGGATGTACCGGTACAGTAACCCTTCATTACTCCGATATTCATGTTCATATTCACACAGAGACGCGGGGAAAATTCACAAAGGTCTCTGCAGTTTGATGATATATAAATACATGTGAACATCTGTAAAATTACAACCATGGTGAATACCTTGGAAATATCAAACAGCAGCATTGTTTGTGTTCGTTTCAAATTGGGTTAACCGATTTCCCTAAGGAGATTGGCAATCGACTAACATTTACAAGTGAAACTGATCTTATAACCCACCAGGTCACATCTGCACCTGTGCAGTTAGCAACAGTTACCCCACTGTTACCGACTCAGTGACTTGGTCGCTATATTTAAGGACTTTTCAGAGAACAAATTCGGTATCGGCCAAAATTGTAATCAGGTCTTTTAAAGGCCCAACCTCACAAAGACACTCTGTGAGGAAACTGCAATCTGCTCACCACCAATTTCAAACATTAGCAGTGTTTCCATTACCCATAGAGCTGCACAAATCCTCTTAATGGAAACACAGCAATTTTGAAAAAAAAAAAAAAAAAAAAAAAAAATTCAGCTGGGTTCACCAGGGCTGTCCCAGAAACAGTTCAAAAAAAGTTGAGGGTTGGGACGAG